TAACAACTTATGTCACGGCGTGCACACATGACTGACTGGCTGAAACAGTGGTACTGATTAGGATTAGTGAGCGCGATTGCCTTTTAAATGATTTCAAACATGCTGTAGAAGCGCCGGGGGGATGAGGCAACTGTGTTAGCCCGCTTCAAGTATTCACCAGAATTACCAGAGTAAACTGCGTGAGCCACCACTATTATCGGCCTTTGGGTTTTTCCTTGCAGGACGCTATGGCATTTATAACTACCGTAGTCTTTGTATCCGCTTTAAGTGTTTTCGATGAGTAATGTCGATTCTATGAGGATAGCATTCTAGTCAGTGGAAGTAATATAAAGGTTCGATCTGGATTTACTATGCTTGTCTTGGTGCCATTTGGAGAGCCTATTGTGACCTTCATGCTGGTGCCGAGCGCCGGTGGAGTACCTATGCTTGAAGGACCCGTTAAAAAGTATATCGCATTAGGGGACAACTAGGCTTGGCTCTGTCACACGTGTCTTTGAAGGATCGTATGGTTTATCGAGAACTCCGGTGATTCAATCGCTGTACTTTTCATAATGCGATCATGAATTTCAACGAACGCCGTCGCGATCAAAGCATCTCCACACCTATGGGCGAACATATGGAAGTGTAGCTTAAGTATCCTATGATTACATAGGTTCTGCATCCTACCTATATTCTTTAAATAACTCCAAATCTGCTGACACTGAAGTGATAATTGATTACCGAAGTAGGTCGTAGGTGTGGAGACCAACGAACACTCACTGATGTCGTGTCACCGCCCTTCTAGTAATCCTCCTAGATGGAACAATGTTTACAGATGCAATAAGGTTCCTATCCACTCAGGGAACTTGCAGTCAGCACACAACGCAACCATTTCATCAGCAATACATAGGTACACTAATCACATCAGCATACAATGCACTGGCAGATTACAACATACGGGCTCTGCAACACGAATTGCTGTACACAAGTCCTAGGCTTATCTAATCTCGTTTGCAACGGTTTTCGCATTCTCCGCCGCAATCAAGTGCACCTGTTTGAATGAGACCGTCGACTAAGAACCGCTTGTCCCGCACTGTAGAAGGAATCAGTCACAATATCGTTGCGCTGGCAACTTGTGCCAACAATGTGGCGCGATGGATTGATTGCTAGGACCATTGCCTTAAGAGGACAATAGTGAAAGTGCGAGGTAGCTAAGCTAATTTCGGGACATCGAAGGTTTCCAAGGGAAGAGGAGTTCCAGGTAGTGTGCATCGCTTTTGTTCACCACGCTACCTAATAAGAGTTACTGATTTGTTGGAAGCCCGTTTTAAGGCTACAGTGTCATTGGTCATGTTTGTGTTTAGTCATCAACTGTGACAGAAGTAAGCACCCATATAACATCGGTTGCTAAGCTTCAGGTTAGTCTACCTATTTCAATGGGAAGAATGTCCTCCATGGTCATCGCAAGAACAATGGCACGAAATTGTCCAACCGCCTAGTAGCCATTGTTGATTCAGCTTAAAGTGTGCAGTGTCCTAGCCACGCCGCACGCTTGACCAACTGCAACTGCAGGCGTGGCTAACTCCCTCAGGGACTGCGGAATACCACTTTGAAAGATGTCTCTCTACGCCACCATCACAACCATGCTTAGAACGCTGCAATAAACCGCCACCAGCTAGTGGCTAGCGGTCAATAATTATAGACCGTTTCATGTGGTGGTTTGCCTGTCTGGCTGCACTGCTTACGGCGTACGCTTCGGATCATGTGGTAGCTAGGATCTCCACCTTAGACAGTCATTAGAAGTTGTCTATTGCACGGTTTCACTTTGAAAAGAAATCATCGGGGTTTCCTTCAGACGCGTATCAGCGCAGCAGAGATGACGTTGCTCGACCACTTTCATTGCAATATCTGTCGCTTATGCTCGGACTTCTACCCGATGCCCCATTGGCTAACGTTCCATGACCAATGAGTGAACCACAGATGCCAAGACAGTGTTATTAAGCCCGCGAACTTGAATGCACAGTACGCGCTTTCGAAAATGTGCCACGCGAAATGTTTGGCACATTGCGCTGGCGTGACTGTGAAATGATATAGCTGCTTAACATCCATCAAAGCATGGTGAGGGTCAGGAATTAAGGGGTTGATAACAGCGGTATATAAAAGTGAAGTGGGAACGAGATGATAAGGATGAAAAGGCACAAGGATTCGGGAGGGCTTGAGCAGTAGCTCCCCAACCCCTGTCTGCGCTGCTCGATGCAGCAGGTAGGGTGCCAACCCTTTACCAGTCTGGTCTGAGTGGCTGTGAAGGTGCAAAGAAGCGCCGCCCAGCGTAGTTTAATAGATCGATGAGGCCCGCAAATCAGCGCAGCACGTTAAATTCCAGCGTGATGCACATGGCTGTACTTTGCGAGGTACAATTCAGTTCAATTCAAGGGAGAAGCTTTAATCACCCTGGGGTGGATATTCAGCTGTTACACTCACGACTTCGGCATTGGAATAATAATACCCAAAAGGTAATTAGCGGTAAAGATAGCAATATTGTTGCAGTGTAAATTTGCTTGTAAGCTCCATAACGACTGAGGTCTGGTTGCACAAAATGCGCTCCAAATATGAGATTACGTATGAGTGGTAAGCCCTTTTGCGGGAATAAATGGATCTGTGCTTTTGTCTAGTTGAGGAAGTTGATATGCGGTCAGACAGTGCAGCATAAATGGGTGACTTGTATTAGCGAGTAATTTTGAAGCAAGACTTTTGCATGAATTGCAGTGATCAGACAAAATAATATCAACCAATATGGGCTATATCGAGACAGTTGTGTTAATGATCTATCCAGGATTTTGCAATGCTTCTTTTAAGAAACCCGAATAATGTAACAGGACAGGAAGTACGACACAAGCGGTGCTACATTGCAGTATTAGGTACCGGAGGACAGGAGGATCGCAAACGAGCAACGTAAAAGGAAAGTCTCCTCACTTTTCTAAAGCTTCACTTGCGTGAAGTGACCATGATAGAGCACGGCTGAGTGTAACACCTAGAGACACTTCACAGATTCGGTGGAGTGCAACCGCTCACCATCTATATGAACTTCTGGGCAGTTGCTGATAACGACGGTCATTGCGAAGGGAAAAAAGAACGTCACTGCATTTTAATGTATTTAGCGATAAAAGTTCAACTCTGGACCATAATGCATTTTCGTCCTGATAGGCTTGTAGCTCAACTGAAGGGGTTTATATCCTATTCTGGATACTTTAGTCCACGTCGTCTGCATATTTCTACGATATCGCTTCGTCAGGAGCGAGCAATGAGGCGACATAAATGGAAAATGGTGTGGTGACAATATGGCTCCTTAAAGAACCTCGATGTCTGTGGTGAGTAGCGAGGAACTTTTACCCCTAAGTCGAGTAAACTGGGCACGTCCAGAGAAATAGTCCCTCAGCAGGTGAACAGCGGATGGTTTTGTTCCGGTATCACATAGAACTCTCCAAAACAGCTCATAGTTTACGCTGCCGGAAGCATTGATATTGTCAAGAACACATACTCGCACGGATTTGATCTTATTGTCCAGTGACACGAGCACTGAATGTACAAGGTAGACTAGTGCATCTTCAGTAGGTCTCACTCTACGATAAGCAGACTGAAGCGGATCATCTGGAAGAGTTTGGGTCATCATCCTTTCAAGAATAATCTTCTCGAGTTCCTTCAGGCTTACTGAGGTGCAATCATTTGGCCGGTATTTTTCAGCCTTTCTTTGGCACCGTTCTAATTCTAGCATTCCTCCAACAGAACGTGTACAGGTTAACAAGTGGCTGGACAAAGGAATTGGCACACACGTTGAGGACAAGGGAAGATAATCCGTCCGTATTTCAAACTTATTCTGTGGCATGTCATTTTATCAGTATATACTTTTGACCGTGAATGGCACGGTCCAGCGATACTGTTGGTTGACATAGAAGACTAGGTCATCTGACTTGAAGTGTTTCACGATTGAACTCCTAGTATACGACAGTCTTTTCCAGTTCACTCGCCTAATATATATATATATGTATATGCATATATATATATATGTTTGTGCCTGAATTGTTGGGCCTGATCAAGTGACGGTTTTCGCCCAATTTACTATGGATTTTTATCACGTACGACATTTTTGTCAGCCAAAGACAACTGACCGGCTTCTAGTTGTTCCTTGAAAACGGCAGTCTCACTCCGGAAAATGTCTGATGCCGTTTGAAGTCATAATTAATGGGGACAAAATCACATGTAATAATACTGAAATAACTTGTTAGTTAGAAGTTTTAGGCACCGCGATTGTCCGTTTTGAAATGTGTTTCATTATTGATAATTGACGGCGACTCTCTTGGTGCTACTAATGATGTGAATGCCGGTTTTTTTATTCCTTCTCACTCTATTTTCATTTTTTCTACGTAGATCATTCCTGATACTGGATCGTTTACAGTTCATATCTTTTGAACTACGTACATCCACCACACAAAGAGGTGTCGTAATTCTAGACAGCCTTGCACTATTCTTTCGCAGTTTGTTTTTGTTGGTTCGGATAGTATCAACTGCAGACATCGTTTGGTGATGTTCGTTCTCCTAGACTGGCACAGTGCATCAGGGTATTAGTTATATGTGAAGGATGCAGCTCTTATGGCACCCGGTTTCTCGATTTCAAAGCAGACTACTGTTTTATACCCGACAAGGAACCACCTTGTTGTTTTTCTATAACTTGTTGTTGCTTCTTGTTGTTGTTCTTGATTACTCGCGATGATTCCTACCATGTTTCCTCATCTCTGGCTTTCATCAAGTCACTCTTTGGAGTGTTTATCATATTGAGATTGCCGGAAAATCTGCCTGAACATTTGGAAATTGCAGGCCATTTTGTACTTTAGGCGGACTTGCACGTTAAAGTTTCATTCATTTTTACTGAGTTGTACTTGTGATCCCTTCACTGTTCTATGATTTATAATGTTGGGTTTACTCACTTCTGCTTACTTTCTTTTATTTTCTACCCCAATTTGCAGCCGTTCGATCCGAAGCGCTACATGTGGTAATGAGCGTCCTTCTCCGGGAGTCATTCTATCGTCGGGTCTTTGCCATCCATTTCACCAGGGTAAGTTCGACTTTTGCGTACTGAACCGTCAATACTCACGTTTCTGGCTAAAAGGTTAGCCACTGTATAGCATTTGAGTCATTACTATCTGTTCTGAAATCCGTATAATAAATTCATTATTCTTGACAACCATAATCGACACATGGGGATTGACATTCCTTTTACTGGGAGCAAAACCCAATGTGTTCTTCACAGCTTACGGTACATTCCGACAATTCTAAGTGCACAGCTGTCAGGAGTCGTTGCTTTCCGTGAAATTCAACGGAAATCCATGTTAATTGCTATCACGTTGACTTTTCTTTTATAGTTGAACCTACCGGCTCTATGCATTTTCTTTAATTTTGTGATTCCACCAGTCTAAGCCCACTAATTAACTAGCTTTTACCATTTGGTTACATAATCATTTTGTCCGACACTTGTCAGTAGTGTTGCCATATAAGCTGATTTGAGCATTTTCCATGATCCAAATCGCTCAGCACCAACACGACTATGGTCGCTGATTTTCCTCCCGAGTTCAGATGAATCTAGACTGTTACTTGTTCCACCGCTTTGCAGGTCATAGTGTTTAGTCAGAGATTAGACGTAAGGTGCCTCAAACAAAACCCCTCTGTCGGAACGGGCAGTCACATAATATCATCTGCCCTCTGCACCCTTGTGGTGGACTAAAGACAGCCACTACTGCACCAGTTATTATTCGTGTGGAAATGCCGGAATGCGAAACGGCAACAGCAGGCCGTATTGACTCCTCCAAAGGAGAGTAACACTTTAGAACTGCAGTTGTATGCATCTGTGTGGTTCAACTTCGAGCCTCTGTTGGGGTTACTGAAGACTGGTGCTTTTTCATTACTTTCGATTATGCCCCCATCGATTGCAGAGTATCAGGACGGTTTCTATCATTTGCTCTCATCTCTTATTTGTATACCCCAACTGTGGACATTGTGTACATTAATGATACCATGATTGTCATTTGTTGTAGTCCGAACGCCTTTTTCAAGACCGCTTAAGGATTTATGACTATCATTCAGGTCCTCTAATCGTTTGCAGACGATATGTTTTAGACTATTAGTACCGCCTTTCGGCACATGCTTCCACATCACATCGATTTGCACGAACTAAGCGCCGGTCTTTTCCGGATGCAAATGGCGATTTTGCTTTTAACTACTAGTTGCAGTTTTCTCGGTCCATTTAAGACACCCTCTGGCGTCAACTCACCGTGTGTCCGTATGATTATACCGTTTCTCGCATCGAAGTAGCGCTTATCACCTGAGAACTGACATTCTGCCAACTAAGTTCATCTAGTTGAGTTGAAACGCTCACTGTTACGGCTGGCGAGAAGAACGAGTCCACTACTAATTTGGGTGGCTTCCGTTACACATCCATGAATGGCACATTCCTTGGATGTCCTCTTCAACCGAATTGTGGGTTTATTTCTCAATCCTCTGCCGGTTTCCAAATTTTGCTCGTTTTATTAGTCCACCGAGGATGATTTTCTTTGGTACTTAATGTAGGCGTATTAAGTTTCCACTCAGTAACCTGTGCGTCGCGCAGACGGACCAAGTCGGATTATGACACGGGACAGGGATCCTAAAGAACGTCGGTTGATGATCCAGACGGAACACAGGCACCGTTTATCAATCGAACGTATTTAGCTGGATACATACTATTGCGTGTGCTATTTTTCATAACTTGACGAATATGACTTAGTCTTATCTCTAGTCCCAACCCATGCACGCTTGTATTATTATTGTCCCTGATGTTACATGTCCTTCCGATCCGTTTGTGGCAGTTTTTATACAAGTGTGGACGGATTCATGTGAGTGAACGTGATTATGCAGCATTCGCACTGCCCTTTTGCGATTGCTAAGAGCTAGGCTGATGAAGCGTGTCATGTGCTTTGTCGTCTTATTTTGTTTAAGCTCGACTGACTGTTTGTTAGATGTGCGCTCAACACATTAAACCTCTTGTGTCATATGCAGTGCCCTGCTTGGCTTATTGTGAATGACGACAAGGTGGCTACCTGTTTAATATTCTCCACATTGATAACTACTGCACCCAAGAGACTGTTCTTCGCTGTTGTAGGAGACGAGGTGCACGGTTATTGTGATGGTGACAGGCTTAAGGAGTGGTTCGATCCAGTTTGAAGCGGGATACGGCCCAGCCACTATCTTGCGTACTTCTGGTACGCATTACTCCCTACCTGGATAGACTAGTATGCTGCTGTTGTGCATGTTGAAGGAGTGTTGGCCGGCTCCGTTGATGCAACGTGGCTCCAATCCACACGCCTCCCGATCTTATTCCTCTTAGTTTACACCGGATATGGGATATGGATAGAGCTGTGGGTGGTGCAGCGCAAGCCACCCATGGTCTCTCAGTTGATGCAGGCGTCATGTGGCTGTCCTATGGAGGCCACAGTGTCAAGCAACTGCGAACGCGGATACCGCAACACTACCGTTCAGTACCAGACTAGTGTAAGTAATCAGCTGGAAGGCATGCGTGCATTATATGGATTAACGCGATACTATCATGAACAATCAGCCTCTGTCCCAACGTATGCAAGCCACACGTCTCAGCTGGCGGAGCGATAAACGTGACTAACCTGTGCCAACCCGAACGTCGGTTGAGTTTCGAATGTCGATTTAGCCGATGTGATGTGTCACTGCTGCTTAATAATTCATTTGAATTCACCTTCCGTCTTCGAGACTCGCCGCACACTCATTATCATGTTAACGCCATTACGTCACTCTCGGTCGTCATGGTCTCTTCTCATGCTTTTTATTAAAACGCAATCAGGGTTTGTTCCCTGTTAACTCAGGTCGAGTGATAATGGCACGAGTTCTTTTTGTCATCTTCTTGCGTCTCCTACTTTTTTAATTTGTCTCAATTGCTTCTCGGCCAGAATTGTTTCATTTTTGTGTTCTCTATCGCACCTATTTTTTTACGACAGTCTTACTCCAAGTTGCTGCAACAATACCTGTACGATGACCACGCTGAAAAGGACAATCTGTTTTGCCTCAGTTGCCAGGTGTTTACTGTGATCAGTCTCGTGAGTTGCTCTTTTCGTGTATCGCCTCATCTACCATGGGTATTGCAAAAATGACGTTATTTTCTTCCTGAATCAACTAATTCAAGTTTTTCTTGTTCATCTGATTTTACCACTCTATTGTATCTTTTCCGTCGACCTTACTATTGCCAACGCGACCGACTTGGTGTAATGTTGCTTTCAACAAATGAGATCGAATTCATTCACTAGCTGTCACTTCTGTACCCGAAACCATTCATTGCAATTTCTCACCACTGTTCTGCTATTTAAATGTGCAACTCTTCTGCAAGCGGTTTTGCAGGTACATGAGTCGAGCAAGTAAATAAACCACGACAAGTTTAGCTGGGACAACATAGGGTTCACATCCAGATAGCACACTCTCGACTGTGATCGAGACATTGCTCGTGGTCAACTGTAGGGTGAAACTTGGTGGCCTGCCCGTTTTTATTAGGGTAGCAAACATCGTGAGATTTTCCATACCGTAAATGCTTTGTTTTTTCATTATCCATCTTGAGCAGAAGATCGTGAAAACAAAATTGATCCATGTGGAAAATACGCACATCAGAAGACGAATGTTGTGAATGGCACAGTCTTTTCTTGCATTCTCTTCGGCCACGTACAAGCAGATAACAATAATTTTAAAAGAGCAAGAACGAACAATTTTTATACGGGATAACCTAGATTCAGATTATTTCGTGTCTTTTCATTCAACCGCCTGCAGACAAATCGTGGAACGAGTAATGCAGTTGAAAAAGGGCCAGTAAGAAAATCAATAAAACACTGAGAAAATCAAGATCATCGCCTACGTCTTACCAGGGAAAGGCAAGATTGGCCACAAGGTTGACCTGTTTGCAAAGGTTAGGTTTCATTCGTCGGATGGCCGATGCTTCAGCGAAACGAAGCAAGCTCGCGTTGTTTTGTCTGCTGATAATCTTGAATGCGTCACGTGGGTTTTCGCACAAGGTACAATCGAGCAGATGCTGAGCGATGGAGCTGGCAGGGAGTTTAGGTCCACTATTTGCCAGGTTCCGTGGAACATGTTCCATGATCCTAGTTGATAGCCTTCTCTCGGTTCGGCCAATGTACATGCTACCGCAAGTACAGGTGAATTGGTAAACACATGAGGCGCTAACCTGAGAGTGAGGCCTATCCAAGTTGGATTCATGGAACAGCTTCTTGGTTTGATGTAACAACACGAGCTCAACTTCATAGTGGCAGCTTTTTATGGCTTGGCGTAATCGGTAGCACAATCTTCTGTCGTTCTGTTCCCCTTTGTATGATAGCGTGATGAAGACCTTTTTCTTTGGGACATCCATTCGTATTTCTTTCTTGGCAACCTCATTCTCATACCTGGCGATGAATTTATTCGGATAGCCGTTATTGGGTAGGTTAGACTCGGTGTATCGTAACTCAACCTCGATGGACTCTTCAGAGCATATTCGGTGTGGTCTAACAAAACAAGTTCGAACTAGGGATCCGTTATAGTTCATTGGACAGTAATTGTTGTAATGTAGGTATTGTCCGGTCTAACTCGGTTTCTTGTAAATCGGTCTTATCAGTGAACCATCTGCTCTACTTTTAAGTGCAACGTCACGAAAAAGAAACGAATCCTCTGATTCACTTTCCATACTGAACTTGGTATTAGGATGGCATTTGTTTAACGTTTCCAAAAGGACTTTCACTTGCTGGACGATGTCAACTACAATAAAACTATCATCGATATACCTCGTGTTAGTGTGTTGCTCCAATGACATCGCGTAATAAGTTACTCTCCAGAAGACCCATTAGGATGTCTGCTAGAATCGGTCCAAGAGGGCTACCCATCACAACTCTTTTAATTTGACGATACATATCCCCATCAAAGCAAAATTGGACGTCTTTCGTACAAATGCTGAGTAAGGTCTTCAATCGACGTGCACGCAGGCGAACTTTGTCCGCATGCATACTTATGATGTTCAATGTCTCATCCAAATGAACGTTCGTGAAAAGGGAACAGACATTAAATGATACCATGTGCTTCTCTTGAACATTCAAGTTTCGAACTTTGTCAACGAACTCAAAAGTGTCTTTTAGACGGCATTGCTGGCTTAGCACGTACAGGCTCGAGTCGCTTTGCCAACCATCGTGCAAGTTTCTGGTGCGGCCCCGCAACCATTGAAAGAATGGGACGAAGTGGAACCCCTTTTTATGTGTTTTTGGCAATCCATATATACGTAGAAGTCTTGAGCCTCGTGGGCGGGGTTCCGCCATAATCTTTGCGTCGATTAGTCCCTCTTTGTGTAGTGTTCGTAGCTCACGCGCTATCAACAAAATAAAAATAATAACAAATCGATTGTTGGTCGACTGTTTTACGATTGGTGCGTTACTCGCTACCACGGAAGACTTAGTGTCACAGTCAGCAGCTTTTGAACACAGAGCGGTGGGCGCTGTCGATCGATAACAATGGCATCGAAGAGCTTGAGAATTTGAGGCCTCTGACTACGCATGAGGATTGTAAGTGACTCATCCTGGTGACCATATTCATCAATTGCCTTGTAATTGCTGAAGCAGTCTTGATTCCCGATTCGCCGAGTGAACCCGTCACGTGTTCACTCAGTTTGCGGAGCCACTTCGGAATGGGTTCATTGATTCGGACAACCAGATTTCGATCATTGCGCTCAACATAGCTGTCTCTTCAGCTACATGTGAATTTGTCTAGACATTCGGACATGGTCTGCTTCGACACTGGTGTTTTCACTTAAGCAGTGGTCGTGTGGACACAAGTGAGCTTAGCTATGCTGCATTGTATGCCTTTTCATATTTCAAGGAGACCACCTTCCTTCCTCCTACAATCTGCACTGAGGGCGCACTTACGCTATATTACACTCCATCGGTTGGCTCATTGGCAATGCAAATTCACCCGTATATTAACAAGCGTTTAGTTCTCCTATGGACATCGTAGCATGCTATGGAGCCTTCAGTCACTAGGATTCACGAATCAGAATTATCTAGAGTATCCAAACCCAGGCTCTGCATTCCCGATGCGGAGCAAGTGTAGGACCTGAATGTCCTCACAACCTTCACGACCATTCGTCTTTCTTTTTGTATCCAAGCATTGACATATTCTGTCATATTTAACAACCTTCCCGTTCCTTGTACAGTTCAATCGGTCTCCCAAGCGACTATCACGTTAATCACAATTGAGTCTTGCATAACCAACTCCGGCCTACAGAGTGTGAGGTCTTGAATTCATCACAACATGGTTTTCCGCGTACACATTTCACCAACCATGAAGGTGCATTGCACGCGCGTTCTTCTGACAATCTCGTTCTGACAATGGTTGACGCCATGTTGTACTTTTCGATCGACTTCTTGCTGTATTATCGTATCAGACCAAAGTTACCCGAAGACATTACGCTCACTTTATGGATTTCTGCTTTTAATAACATCATTGTATTACTCCCCATTTTTCTTTCCTCTCCGTTCAGGCGCGTCATCTTCTGGAGCGGAACAACGTTCTCACTCGTATGCTATCGAGATTAGAGGCTGCTTTCGAAGCCAACTCTTTAGTTCTTCCTGATTTTTATTCGAGCCCAGGCGATGTGCACCAAGGCCACTGTACAACCAGCGATGAGCATGATGAAACACTGTGCTCCTCTGGCTCTGACCCTTCGTGGTTCGCGTTTATCATAGACACCTTGCGACGCGCTAATCCATTTGAATGGGGCTCTTCCAGTTGTCGGAGTTTTTTCGGCGAAAACCGCTCTGTTGATACGACCTCATCGGATGAAGATGCCGGATCTAGTTTTCGAGCACCAGCAGAGCCTCGGGTGCTTCATTGGCAAGCTGGAACTTTATTGCACAGAACGCGATTCCATCCCTTTGAACGTTTGTTGGAGGTTGTGCGTGATATCTCTTACATTTTGGGAAGCCTTACCAACGTGCGCCCTCTTTACGGTGACTCGTTATACCCGAAAGGCTGGTGGAATGCTGCTGGCCGCAGCTCCTTTTTGGACTACATTCGTTCATTATTGCGCGTGCTAAGTTACATACAAGTAAGTGCTCGTTCCATTATGCGTTCCACGATCACCATGCGATCTAGTAATTTTTCTTGTAATTTGTTCCTTTACAGTACTAGCTCGCCAATTGTATATCCTCAACAGCTCCTAGATGATAACTCTTTTTCTGGTTGTCTTTTGAGCTGTTGCGTCACGCTTTTTCCTTGCGCCGGTACATCGATTTTCATGATTGTATGCCGAAAATATGATTTTTTCGATAGTTCTTCTCTTTCCTATCTCCTTACCCTTAAGGATATGAGCGGCATGCAACGCGAAACTCGTGGTCACGTTGCCGACGATACGGAATGGGCAAGTGGTATATACATAGTAAATCATCTAGTCAGTCTACTCGGCCTGACAGCGCAGGTGGCCAGCTCGGATTATCAACTTTTCAAGGATGTTCTTCGCGAATCTCGACAAGTAAGTTTCACTTTTCGTTCTCTGCTCGTAAATTGCTCGTGAGTCTGAAGAATCTACACTAAGGACTCAAACCTTTCCCCTGCTTTTAGTGATGTGAGGTCCATTTTCTTTTATGCTTGGCCTTGCCTGTTTCTTCTCTAGTTTCTTCGTCGGACTAACAGCTTGCTGGTCACTTTGAAATTTTACACGTGTGTGCTTCTTTACTTCGGTTTGGGTGACTGGGTGCTGCTATGCCCTCTGAAGAAACCATGGATTCTTAGTGGCTGTGTTCAGTTTCCTTTTCACACTGCTTGTAATCTTTTTTATTTCCATGTTTTTGTTGCCTCCACATGGATTCATAAAGCTGGTGCGTATATATATATATATATATATATATATATATATATATATATATATATATATCGACTATGTGTTGGCTCTTTATTGCTTGTTTACACACGCGTACTGTTCACTACCCCGCCTTCATTGAATGCAGCTTAGAAACTGTCCTCTACACCATTCATCTTCCTAGGCCTTCGAATACCGAGTTGGGATTATGGATCGCCGCTTTCGTGTTGCACCATTGCCTTCCGTTGAAGACGACCGTGAGGGCAGATCGCCTGGTGTTAACCAGTCTGCTTGCTCTAGAAACCTATCTTTCCAGTCCTTGGGTGTTACGACTGAAGTTTACGCCTATGATGTGGCCACTTATCGTGTCAGTCTGTTGCAGCCTTTGCCGCGCTTTTTGGCCAGTCTGTATGGCCATGGGGTTGAAATGGGTATTTCGTTTGAGGAACTTGGTTTGCAGGACAAGGTGAGCTGCCGTTTGTTCTTTACCCTGTTTGCCTTTACGGACACCGTTGCTCCAGTTTAGTCACTGATGCATCTGCTTCAGGGCATCCAGTGTCATTGGTTTCATCTGTGATTTTCTAACGTTAAGACGGGTTTATTAGAATATCCTTACCAGCTCCCTAACGAACACATCACCTGATGAAGAGGTGAAACTCTTCTGGTGCATTGGCGCTCGCGATTCACTCCGTTTCCTTTTAGCATCTTACCTTTAATTCTATGCCAGTTATTACCTACCTTCTTTTACCCTTCTCTTACAGGCCTTTGCTAACCTGCTCATCGAACGACCTTTGCAGATTCTCGCTTTTTATGCACAGTATAACGCAAAAATGTGGGTGCGCAATGGATATTCGGTTCAGACGTCGGTGGGTTGCTCAGCTTATTCGAACCACCCACACTTTTCTCATGTTTGCTTGAGTATTCAATTTCGTTCCAGTGAACTCCCATGCGTTGGATACTCATGCCATTTCCCTTTTCACAAGTTAATTTGTAATAATCGAGAGCATATGTTCTCACATTCTTTCCAACCCTGTCTGCATAGGTCGCCAACATGTTTGCTACGGGCTTGCGCGTGGAGCTTATAGAGCGTGACTTTCAACTGCTGCAACTTGCCGCAGCTGTCATGCCACCGGACGAATTCATTGTTCGTATGATACACAAAATGCAACTGCAGAACTATTTAGACCCGTGAGTATACGCTTTGATTTCATCCGTATGCTTTTTGTGAACCCTCCACTAACATGTGCCTATAGTTCGCTCTGTCCATGAAACTTTTTCTTATTATTACTGTATCTTGTTTATGTCCCTACTCCATATAAAGTTACAGTATGCAGTGAACAAGTATTTCAGCATACCTACGAGATCATTTCGGCCGTCTACATAGTTGAACATTTCATTTTTCCCCGTCTTACTGGAAATATCCTTATCTGACTGTGACTCATAACCAGCAGTTCGTTCATCACCAAACTAACATCATATGTCCATTATGGATTGGACCCATCACCTCTGGCATCAGTAGCAGTAACCAGGCGCCTGTCCAATACTAAGAGACCTGAAGGCTTCCAGTCTATCCGGCGATGCTTATGAAATCATATATAGAAATCGGTTCGTGCAGCTGCTGTGTAACCTGTGTGTCGGTGCTCTGCGAGTCCTGTCCAATTCTCGAAGCCTCCACCTCGGTTAGAACTCTCAGATTCAGGTCATGCCGCCAGTAACGGCTGCATTCTGTTGATGAATCACGTTTCCCATCGGTAGGTGATCGATTGTAACATTATCTTTATTCTAACTTGTTGGATCGCTCATCGTATGTTGTCAAGGCTTTGACTTAACCACAGATGGAGAGTACTTAGCAAATTGAAGTTCTATCGCGGAAAATTGGGATAGCCAACTTCTAACCGTCAGTCCGAGTTGGAGGAAACACGGCTGATCCGAGCTCCGAGTTGTGATGCGTCCAGTTGCTTTTGCTATTGTCGATGTGCATGCGAACAGTGATGCTTCTTGAAGAAGACTGAAAACCTTACAGTCCATTCTTGTAAGCAAGCAAACGGAATTAGACATGACTTGCGTTTTTGCATGAGACCCTAAGCATATCTTCGTTGGGTTGTTATCTCTGACATGTCGGTGGGTCAGCCCGCTTCCTATTTTGGACAACGTGATGCTCTCTTTTGAGTACTAACCCATGCGCAAGCGCATTGAGGCTTTCTGTGTGCCGTCATTACGACTATGTGCAGTATACATAGTCCACGTTATCCATTGCCGGAATTCAATAATGTGACGTTAATACATTAAGGTTTGGCAGTTAGTATGTAGTCTGTACGCCGTGGCTGTCTCGTGGGGAGCAATCTTAATATCTTACGCACAACAAGGTCCTAGAATACTCAGGTTTCGTTTTGAAAAGCAACTTTAACGACATATCTTTCGGCGATAAATGCTATCACGAGAAATTGACATCAGCGGCATAAATAGTAGCCTTCTATATGTGATGATACTTCCATAGTGGGTTTTTAATTATTTCCATTCCTCAGGCTGCTTTCGAAAAGTATTGCCATCTTTTGTGGTCTCCTACTCTGCGACTGACAAAACTTATTCACCCGCTTGTAGGACTTGGTACTGCGGTTAATATCTCAACAATATTTTCTTTTTTTCTTTCCCCGATGAACAGCGTTTGTTCTATGCTCAATGTTCTGTTAGGTGGACTGTCCAAATTATCGGCGGGTGAGTCGCCGTCGTACGTCGTCAGAGTTGAAAGCCGTAGCGCCAGTATCCATATTTAGCTTAGGTCCGATGTCATGGTTAGCTCACTCGAAATCAGCCCTCATCTTATCTTGGCCCACTTTAGGAATAGCGATAACAGTATACCCTGGAAAACACTACTAGTCATTGACCTTCGTTTCGTACTATTTAGCCGAACCGATTGAGTGCGGTTGCTAAGATATGGTTCAAACCCTTGCAAATCTTGACCTGAAATGACAAAAGATTTCAGCTTCGCTAGTAAACTGAAATGAAGCACTCACTTACTTCATCTTTAGCCAAAGAATAATCAAAACACACCTGTGTCCATTTTGGAACACTTGATCTAACTACTGTGTTTGACTGAATTTGGCCCTTAGAAACCTGTGTTTGGATTCTTGGTTTTGAGTACAGCGCAATAGCGATTCGAAAAATTTCTCTTTGACATTACTCTCTGTGACTCTTGAGACAGACCTTGTGGCTGATGAAGCGATCATGATAAATTTGGTGCTTACAGAGTTTGTGTCTCAACACAATTAGTGCGTGCTTCTTACTGGTATGGACTGTGTCATACTCAAAAGAAAATGTGTAAATATTTATACGGACCGTCCAATGTAAGGAGGGCAGAAAGACAATCAGAGCCAACATAGTACCGAATTCTTCGAGTGCTTGTAATTCCAAGTTATCCTGTATGACTCCTGACAGTTTAGTTCCGACCATTACGTTGACGTCGGTTAAGAACTGAAAGAAATGTCCTATGAATCTCACCTAAGTCTACTAGGTCCTCTGTGGCAGTTTTATTCAAGAGTACTAGCTGCGTTCCGTTTTTTCTTGCTTTTGCGCCTAATCACTTGAGGTTTGTTGAATTTGAGCGCCTTTCTTTCCCCCAGGAGATTTCGTACAGTGTTCAGGCTGCGTAAAATGGCCAGAACTTCGTTTGTGCGTAGAAGTAGAAGTATCTGATCCTATTTTATTTGGAGTATACTGTTTTTACCTTAGTTGTCGCTAGAACTGGAACATCAAAGCTATTAGTCCAGTCCCTGTGATCCTGCGCTGCATTTGTTTGAGTATATTTAAACAACTGTAGACTGTCATGGACTACTTTGTAGCATCTTAAAAGACCGACACCAGGGGAAATTCTCCTAGTCCATCGATCTTAAGAAAATGAAATAAATGTCTATGCTGAAACCTTTCACACGCCGAAATGCAGTAGGTGATGTGAGTATACATTCCTCCTCCATAGGAGAGCCATGTAAGCTTGACTGTTTTGCAATTCAGTTATTTTGCTGAGGCCGTTCAAAGTCTGATTTCATCGGCAACCTTTGCCTGCTGGAGTAAGTGCGCAAAATCTGCAGTTAGCCTGAATTTGCTTCCGAATCCTTTGAAGCTTGCGTCCACTTTTCGATAAATTGCGACCGGGATTATGTTATTTTGGCTGGCACTGCAGAAGGCAGTTATAACGAAGAAAAAGTTCCTTGCTGGAGCGTTTCGGTGTGGCTCTCTGCCATCAAAGCCTGAAAATCAAGTTCCTTGCTGGTTACAGATATAACGGGAGCTATTCTTCAACTCATCGAACAAACCAGGTCCTGGAGCGAGATCCACTTGAAAAATGCACAGGCTATGATGTACTGAGTCTTGCATGTCGGCTATGCGTAGTTTTGAGCAACATTTGACCACCCGACGTACGATCGAAAGAAAATTCTCAAGTGCGGCAATACTAATATGAGGTATTCCTAGTGGTTTTCCCTGGTATTTCTTTGAACACAATAGTGAAGACTTTTGAATTTTGAATAAACATTTCCTATGGACCGTTTAATCGAGAGCAGGTTGAAATAACCCCCAATATTCTTGTGTCTGGACGGCAAATTTGTGGCTCATTCAACTATTAGATCCTCTTTACTACAATTTGGTACGCTGTGAATGTACCCCCGCACCTGAAGGTAAAACGGAGCCAGGTACCACATATCTTGATTACACAAATCAATATAGGATCATTCGTTACTTCTGGAACATTAGTTGCTCCCAATATCTTCGGTGTGATCCTCTGAGGAAGTGACCCTAGATACTTTGAAATTACACTATATGCACTTTTGTTTCCGGAACCCGATCCACCTTGGTCATCCAAGTGCTCACGCGTAATTCTGCTTATTCTGTTTGATCTCAGAGACGAACGATCACCACACCAAAAGTGAAACAACGTGTGGTACATGGTTCCATATCCGAATCCCCACTTCACTCCATACAACCACTAAAGCCGTTTGTATAAAATCAATATCACACTATCAAACCTCCGTGTTGCTCCACTTCTTCCACTAACACAAAGGTTACTCTGCATCCAGTCACCGGCATACTCTTTCCTTCTAGCGAACAGTGGTCCACCAGCCTCTACCACCCTTAACCCCACGACACCAGCAAATTGTAAGCTAATCCTTTTTCAACGAAATAGTTCAGCTTCGCTATCTGCTTCGGAGAAGAATAAACGAGCTGACAGTCTAACATCGACTTTGAAGGAAATTTGCAAGGCCGTTATTAAACCTCTAACGGATGGTGAATGTGTCATTCCGTTCATGAGCTATTTTGTCTATCTTGACCAGATTTGACTTGTGTGATTCGTATGGGGACCTGAAAAACCGTCAGCAATACTTTATTTAGTCGGATCAAGTAAAACGTTAGGTCGGGCACATTGTAGACATTCCGTTGTGCTGCATATCGTTCTCTTCTTTACCGTGTTGACAACTTGATTTCGGGATTAAACGAAAGCTTGCATTGCGCCTCTAATTAAGTGTGTTTGATCGAAATAGCCTGCGATAGCATCACATGGGGCAACCAGTCGGTCTTTTGCAGACAGTGTTTTGGTGTACCAGGTACTCATTATTTACTCTGGTCTTCCCCACTTCACCTGTTCTCCCTCCTAAAACGGACCCCTCGTTTGCTCGCCCGTTGTGTGCTCATTTTGACTCCTTTCGCAACGGGATTAATTGCGCCTCCTACTCACTTCTGTGTTGGCTCCGTGTTCGGGGTATGTTCATTGCCACGTCTGTGTTCCTCTTTTACTCCGGGACAGCTGATTGCGCCTTGTGTCCACTTCCCAAGCTTTGTGATGAGGACCAGTTGGTGTCAATCTCTATACCACGGGCAGCGTACTTCATATTCTCTTCAGGTGTGACTAGATGCTTGTTGTACCCGAGTACATCGTGTTTAGGATTCAGATGCTAAAACACCCCGTTATCTTATGCTTGCGATTAATAGTTTAGTTTTATCCATGTTCCTTCGCAATAAGACTGGACCTTACCGTGGTGCGATGGTTTGCGTGCATCAGAGATCCATTGAGCTGTGCTGCATGTCGCTTTTTGCACCTTCAGAGACACTTATACCAGGTTTGTCAATGGTTAAAGTCCTAACTAACTCATTTTCTTGGCCCTCCAGGTTGGGGTTGGAGTGAGGGTGGCTCCTTACTT